AAAAAAAAAAAAAAAAAGAACTAATCCTATGACCTTGAACCAATTAGTTAAACACCGAACTTCAGTCTGAAAATGGGAATAACAGCAGGTTATCTTACGACGGTTGTGAGGATCAAAAGATTTGTTTGTACAGTCTACGACACCGGCAGTGTTTCCACCTTCGCTATTTGAGAGCCATCCATGGGTCCCACACCCCAGGTACTTAAACTTCTCTGAGAGCCTACCGAGCCCCGCCCCTCTCGCCTCCGAGGATGACGTCATCGACTGAGTTGTTGATTGACGTCACCTCCGGGCAGGCTGGGCTTCATCGCCTCTTCTCCGGAAACCTCCGACTCTTGGCACCTGGCCTCAAGCTTTCGGTTATTTTTATTTTCTCTTCACAGCCTGAATTCCTTCCCTCCCATTCTCCCACCTAAACCTATTGGCTCTTCCCGCCTTCCTTCAACTAGCATTTTCGGTTCTTCCCTCTTGCTCTGGGGCGACTTTCTGAAAGTAGTTTATTCTCTTAATAGCCCCTCCAGCCCCGCCAGTTAAGCTAATTCGCTTAATCGCATTATCCTGACTGCTTCCACCTCCTGCCACCCACCAGGACACCGCCTTCGGCTCTTTCCGGACCATCACAGTTTCTCCTCCTTCCCCGGTCCCGATCGGCTTAGGCTATTTCTGGCTGCCCTAGGTTTCTCTTGCTCTCTCTAGCCCCACCCCTATCAGCACCTTCGGCTCTTTCCGGCTCTCCCCCACCGCCCCATGTCGCTCGCTCAGCTTCTTTCGGCTCTTTCCGCCTCCCCTCGGCCTCGCCCTTTGCCTTCGGCTCTTTCCGCCAGTCTTCGGGCAAGCGGTCTCTACCCCTCTCCTGCACGTGATACGGCCTCCGCCTCCGCCTCCTAGTTCCCCCTCCCACCTCACCCTTCCTCCCGCCTCAGCCTCTCGGCTGGTCCGGGCCGAGTCGCCATTTTGTGTCAATTCCTGATTGCGGCGGGGGCCGGGCAGCCGGGGCACCCGGGGCAGCAGACAGGGAGACAGTCGGCCCGTCTCCTCTCTCCCTCAAATCCTTTTTTTTTTTTTTTTTTTTAACCCTCCCCACCCTCCTCGCTCGCTCGCTCGCTCTTCTCCCCCTACCCTTCGCTTGCTCCATCGCGCGCGGCCCGCGCTAATTACACCCAACCACCCACCAGTGTCCGTGTCTCCCGGGTCTCCCGCCCCCGGGCCCGCGGGGGTGCGTGGGGGGGGGCTCTCGCCCCGATGAGGGCCCCGCGCCAGTGAGCGAGTGACCGCAAAGGTGGGCTGCGGAGAAAGCAGGCGGCAAGCGGTCCGCCGAGGCCTAGGCCGAGCGGCCTACGCGGAGGTCGGCGCAGAGGTGATTTCGAAACCGAAAAAATATATACCCCATTCCCATCAGGAGCCCTCCGAGAAGTGTGCCCCTCCCGCCACGCCCAAGCAGTCCTTTTTCGCGCATTAACATCCCCTCCCCCCCAAAGGAACTATGGAGGCCGCGCCCGGGACCCCCCCGCCGCCGCCATCAGAGTCGCCGCCGCCGCCATCGCCGCCGCCGCCATCAACGCCTTCGCCTCCTCCGTGTTCCCCCGACGCCCGCCCGGCCACCCCGCACCTCCTCCACCACCGCCTCCCGCTCCCTGACGACAGGTCAGGCCCCCGGCCGGGCCGGGGCTGCGTCCCCGGGGGGAGGAAGAGGAGGAGGAGGAAGGGGGGCGACCGCCATGTTGGGCCGGGCCGCGGAGGAGGAGGAGGAGGAGGAGGAGGAAGGGCGGGGTCGGTGGGTGTCTCTCGATCGCTCGCTCGCTCGCTCTTTCTCGCTTGCTTTCTCTCCCGGCCTCATGCGTTTCCCCCCCCTCGCGGCGCTCGCCCGCTCTCCCTCGCTCTCGCTCTGTCTTTTTTGGGCGCCATGCTGAGGGGAAGGTGAGGAGGCGCCCCTCGGACCCCCCGCGCCCGCCCGCCCGCCCTGGGGAGGGGGCGCCAGGGGGGGTGTTGCGGAGGCCCACGGGGGTCCTGGCTGCCCTTGCGCCGGAGCTGGCAGCCACGGGCCCGCCTGCCCGTCGCCTGGCTTCGGGGAAGGGGATGGGGGAGGGGCTCCGGACCCTTTTTAGGGGGATCTCCAGCAACAGCCCCGCTCTTAGGGGTTTGGGGTTGGGGGTCTCCCAGCCCCCGGCAGTATCCTTTCTCCTGGGGGAGGCACACCCTGCCCTACTTGGATGATAGGTACCTTAGCTTTTTTAGGAGGCAGAAAGTGGGGGTTCGTTCAGGTCCTTTCTCCATCCCTCTAATGGGGGGTCTTTTGGGTGGGTATGGCACTTTTAATTTTTGGCGGGAGGTGTTTTCTAGCTATTCCCTAGAAGGCAGAATTGGGGAGGGGGAGAGATGCATCTCCAGCCCTTTTGATGAAAACCCCTGCCTGTTTTTTGAGAGAAGACTCTTCCCTATGTTTTTGCTAAAGGGCAGGGGTCCTCTCGCTTTTCGTAGGTAGGTGACGTGAGGGAGGGTTCTCAGCCTTGTTTTTTGTGTATGTGGGGGATGTTTAGTTTTCCTGCCTTGTAGGGGAGAGGAAGTTGGTCCCGCGCTTTCTCCTGTGGTTCCCCCCTCTTTCGGGGTAAAATGGGGCACCATCTCTTCCGGAAGAGAAAAGGCGATTTCCTTGTGCTTTGGCAGGGGTGAAAGGAAGCGCCCCCTTCCCTAAGTGCGAAACGCGGCTCCCCTCCCGCCCTTCTCTGGCTGGCGGGTGATAATGGGGACAGCTCGGCGCGTTTCAGGGCGAGGTTGGGGCCCCGTTTCCTTCCCCTGCTCGAGCAGAAGGAGTCGGGGTGCAGGGTTCGCCCTCTGTTTCCTGGTGGGGCAGGAGAAGAGGCGGCTGGAGAGTAGGTTTGGACACGGACGGTGGGTTTCAGTCGGCAGGAAAGCGAGCCTTGGAAGGAGTGGGGGTGGAGAGGGGAAGAGAACGTGCTGGACAGATGGCTACCCCGTCGCAGCCCTGGCTGGGGAGCCCCTCAGGAACCTCCCTTGGCCGGGGTTTTCAGCCAGGGCTTTCCCTGCCAGACTCCACGGCCCCGTCTCCCCACTCCCACCTCCCCTTTCCCCTTTCTCCTTCACAGACCATACTTTGCCTTTTAAAAGAAATGCCACCCACATTCAGAGACACAAGTGCAGCAGTTTGGTGAGCTTTTACAACATTTTTTTTTTCTGTTTTGTTCTAATTAAATGTATCGTCCTGGGAATCGCAGCCCATCGCAGCCCGACTCCAGTTCAAGGAAATAAACAGATTAGCAAAGGTCTGTTCGCTAAGCCCATGTTGGGCTTCCGGCCCCCTCTCCGGGGCCAGGTGCATTACTCAAAGGTGCTTACACGCTTTATTCGACCTCTAAGGAGTTCTCTTATGTCAGAAGTGTATGTCTTACAATGGGTTGGGATGGTAAGTAGCCTCTTTTATTGAGTAATTCAATGATCTCCCTCTTTTTCTCCCTTTCCTGCCTGCCTTCCTCCTCGCCTTTAGACCGAAGTGATGCTTGAGAGTGAATTGATGTGTTCGAATCAGGATTCTAACCCTGTTGAGCCCTTTTAGACTTGCACATCCTTTCAGTGTTTAATGTTTTAAATTTGACGTACACAGTTTTCTCAAAAAAAAAAAAAAAAAAAGTGTGTTACTGTAACATGACAAAAACCGATGTAAAAGGCCCGTATGTTTTCAGACTCTGGCGTCCCTCTTTCCATTTCAATCCATTGCTTTGTCTCCAGCCTTCATCTTTGAAGAAAGTGGATACTTCAAGTCCATTTGTAGGAGACAAGCTTACTGAATTTGATTTATGATACATGTATTCAAGTTAATGGTTTCCCTCTGCCCCCCCCCCAAAAAAAAGATTGGTTCAAGTAGCTCCAATTTTCTCATTTTACTCCAATGTCTCTTGTGATGGACCTTAAAATTGAGCAAGTCATTTGTAAAGTACTGTTGAAGCACAAAATCTGTAAACTCTGTCAAGCCCCCTTCTCTGCCTGTCTCCACTGCTCCTTTGTTCGAAAGCACATGTCTGTGAAAAGTTGATGCAAACGTGTTACACGCCCAGTCATGTTGGAGGGAACACCTCCTCCAGCCCCCAGTACCCTTGTCCTACACGTTAACAAGGAAAAAAACAGCAACAGAAATGACTTGCAGAACCAAACACCGTACTTCCGATGTGTTTTACAAGCATAAGTTCCGTTAAAAGACAAAACACGTTGAAGTTGCATTTTCCCTCTTTCCCACTTTTGATCCCTGGCATACTTTGAGAGAGAACCCTGGCCCTCTCCAAAAGACCCGTTTCCTTTTTTCCCTTCTTACAAGGAAAAAAGGTCCCACACATGTAGATGAGGAAACTGCAATTCAGTAGGCCACTTGTTTTCTTCCTCTTAATTTGTTCACAACTGCTGTGGAGTGGTTATCCTAATGATGATGTAAAATCAGTTATGGGAGGAAGAAATCTCCAAACTCTACGATATCCTGCAAAAAATGTCTGAAGCACGAACCGAAAAAACACTTGATCCAGGGCACTGGGTCAGCCCAAAATGAATTGCACTTACTTGAAGTTTCCCATCCTTTGTAAAATGCCTTCTCCAGGAGCGGAGAACAGAAACTGGATGACTGAGGACCCAGTTCCAAAGGCTACTAAGTGCTTATTTAAATTGACTTTTTAAAAAGCGTTAAGGAAATGAGGTTTCTTTTGTAAGTGAAATTTTTAGCCATCATTCAATGAATTTGAAACTATTTCCCCAAACATTTAAAAAGCTCAGCATATCAACACGGGTTTATTGTTTTCTGTTCTCAAAGGAATCTCTTCCATTAAGACCGAGAGGTCCCAGTAATTAAGTCAAAAACTGTATTTTGGAATCTTTGTTTTTGAAATGTCACAGTACTGCCTCCCCGCTCCCAAACTGATGTACCAGTATTAGTTAAAAATCAAATTAATGGATGTTGCAAAAAAGAAGGAAAAGGGTGTCACTCAGAATCCCTGATTTAAGGAATTTTACTATACGCATAGCCTTTCTCATTTTTGTCTTCTCTGGGTGAGAGATTTAACTTGAAAGCAATTCAAAGTCTCCTAGTAGAAACAGTCCATTGTGACCATGGAAATATGGATGTTCTGGTCATAAAACCCTTTATTTTTTTAATTCCCCTCAAATTTGCTCTTCAAAAGAAAAAGCGATTCCCCAAAAGGAGTAATTCACAGCCTGTCCTCTTCCCCCAGGTACAATTTTGCTCTGCTCTGAAGGTTTAAAGTTTTGATTTCTTTATAAGCCAGAGTTTTCTCTAAGTAGAGCTAGCTATTTTAGTAAGCCACTGCTGTGGTTTTCCAGAGCCAGGAAGGCCGATCCCAAGAGAATATTGTTTTGTACCTGTGAACCTGGCTGTTCACTGCCTGGCAAGTTAAAGATGAATGGTTTTGACTCTTGCATTTACATACAGTTGAACGTAGAGCAATTTCATATTGGGCCTGGTTAGTAATTTATTTAGCAATGCCTCCACCTTTGCTTCTTGCTCTTAGATCTTTTACCTTCTTCCCTGATGGGAAAGAAATGGCTGTCTGAGGGTCGTTCACTTCCTTTGGTTATGTTTTTATGGCTATCTGGTCTCTAGAAACATCTCTCCATAAGAGGTCAGATCCAGTTACAATAAATACCTCTATGGTGAAAATTGCTTATGAAACTATTTCCAAGTCTCCAGGATAGCTATCAAGTCAAACCAGATTCTAGAGAATCTAATTTTGCACCCCCCCCTCAAAAAAAAAAGTAGTACTTCTAGGCCAGAGCAACTGTTTCTCCGATCCGTGAGAGGTTGAGTGACAGCATTCGAATAGCAAGCAAAGTAGCTGAATTGAGCAGGGTGCTTAACCTGTACCTTGGCAGCATAGCTAAGAAAAAAAGGATGACTCCTGAGATTTCTGGCATTTGGTATTTATTCAGCAGATCAGGGACTGTAGGCACAGCCTCATTGGTGGAGGGGATCCTGTCCGAATACATGGTTTGAAGCCAGTTTCATTAAAACCTAATAGGATGGAAAAGCTGCCAGTTTGTCTGGGTGGCATGTCAAGTTCATGGGGATAAGTTAAGGTAAAAATGAGATTGTTCAGGGGGAGCCAAACTTCATGGGTTTGCCTTTCTCAGTGTCTTGGCCTAGTCTTTGCTGCGGAAGGCGTTTGCTTTTAGTGGCTAATGCAGATGCAGTCTTGAAGACACTGTGTGATTTTGCTGGTGATGTAATGAGGTGAGATGGGCAGTTTTTAAATTGATTTCTGGCACATCACCCCTTGGGGTGACTCTTAGTAGTTGTTGACAAAAATGAAGATATGGCCTCTTGGTTGGTGCTGGGTTTAGTTGTGTCCTGTTACTTTTTTTCTTAATGGAATTTAGGATTATTTGCTTGGAGCATAGTTTGCTGCTTCTGGCCAAACTGGTCTGCATGAAGAAGGATCTTTCTCTTGTTGGTTTTTTTTTTTTTTTGTATCTTTTTTTTTTTTTTTTTTTTTTTTTTTTTTTTTTTTTTTTTTTGCCATTTTGTATCTGTGTGAATAGGTGACTCAGGGCCCTGTTTGTCAGGCAATTGGTGACATCTTTTTGAATGTCGGAGGTGGCAACAGGATGTGAAGGAAGACTGTGGACTTTGG